ATTATTATACTCTTTTAATGCACTAAATATGTACAACACTATTATTATTTTTTACTATTAAACAACACACACGGAACATCTCCATTAAACAAACTTTAGTTTTTATAGGTTGACAGATAAACTATTTAGAACATGTCGGATTGTCACAGAAATTTGGATTTCATAAAAGCCCTTCGTTTCGCTTCTTGCTGGATGGTCGATTCTGTGGTTAAACACTCAAAAAACACCATAAAAGTATTGTGTGTAATATTTTATTAAATAATTAAAATGAACCAGTAATGATAAATGATTATATGCAGTTATTGCGTGCTCTTACATTTGAACAATGACGTATCTAGCTAAGTTAATAATGTTGTTTGGTGATAAGTTAGTGAGGAAATTTATTAGATATTAAAATTAATTATATTTACGTTATACTAATGAAGGTAGTAAAATGAATAAGGTGGTAGAAAATGTAAGAGTCCCACTAAATTATATTTTATTTATTGTTAAGTTGGTTGCCTATCAAAGTAATGTTTATTAAAGTGTGCTAAGTACATCGAGCAAAAATACAAAAGAGGGAATCTAATCCTTATGAAAAGGAGACCAAAAAAGTGGCCTCTGATGGCGGACATATCCGGAAATGCAAATGCGCCAAATTTAAATTTTCACACTTATTAACAGTAGCTATATAATATTTTTCAGAATGTGTCTTAGACGAGAAAGTTTTAATTAATTATTAACGATAATAGTCTAAAATGCGACACAATTGTTAAAAAAACTTCAATATAAACTAAGATTTCATGTGACATTTGGGACAAACAATAACATAACCCAACTAAATTTGATGTCAAAACAAGGAGAGAGACTCTCTTTTCTTGTTTAATGTGGCCTCTAAAGATCGCACTTCCTGTCTAACAATATGTTTGCCCCCACTACCTTTACATTCCCTCTTTTGTCTTTTTGCTCGATGGCTAAGTATGTGATGGTAGGCCATCGAGCAATAAGACAAAAGAGGGAATCTAATCCTTATGAAAAAGAGACCAAAAAAGTGGCGTCTGATGGCGGACATATCCGGAAATGCGAATGCGCCAAATTTAAATTTTCTGACACTTATCAACAGTAGCTACATAATATTTTTCAGAATGTGTCTTAGACGAGAAAGTTTTAATTAATTATTAATGATAAGAGTCTAAAATGCGACAACAATTGTTAAAAAAACTTCAACATAAATAAGATTTCATGTGACATTTGGAAACAATAACATAACCCAACTAAATTTGATGTCAAACAAGGAGAGAGACTCTCTTTCCTTGTTTAATGTGGCCTCTAAAGATCGCACTTCCTGTCTAACAATATGTTTGCCCCCACTACCTTTACATTCCCTCTTTTGTCTTTTTGCTCAATGTGGTATGCACAAATGTAAGAAGATAAAATATAATAAACTTGGGGCAAAGTGTAAGAGTTTCGTTGACGAAAGTTAAAGTACATTTATTTTTTATGTTAAAATCTGAATCAAGTAGAATTGTGGTTAAATGATGTATTGTTGCAGAATGTTTACTTAAGATGAAATTGAAATGTAGAGAAAGAAATTGATATGGAAGCAGGACATTAAAACTATGAAGTGAACAATGTCAAAGACTGAGGATTCCTAAAGAGTAGCTTAAGAATTGGTGAAAAATATTTTAATTTATAGAAAACAGATAAAAAAAACTCAAATAGCGGATGTAATGGAATGTCAAATGATAAGATATGAAATTTGAAGTGATGATATGAATGAGGAGTGGCGATTGAATAAGAAAAGATGTGCTGAATTAAATTAAATACTGTGTTTGGAAATAGGTTGAAAGGTGAAGGGAAGAGGATTATACAATGAATGATCTGATACTAAAAAATAACAAAAAATTCTCTAACTTCCAGTTATCCATCCTAGAATCAAAAACCTTTCCAACATCTCTCAGACTTCTCAGACCTCAACTATCTCAGACTTCTTCCAAAGAATTTTCAATTTCAATTGTAAATTTCCAAAGAAATTTCCAATTATAATTTAATCTTCAATAAAGCAGATAAAAGTAACTGTTTGATCTTTCTAGATAGGGACTATTACAACAACAAAGTTTACCTACTTCTTTCATAGAATATAAAAACTTTGCTCTTTTGCAAGTTGTTCCTTTTTAAAAGATTTATATCTAAACTAAAAGATAACATAAAAAATTTTCTGATATTTTCTCTGATCATGGTGCACCTTACAGCAAAATTAGTAATCCCAGTAATCCGAATATCCTCAGGCTATATGGGTTGCCTAAGATACACAAAGTTGACATTCCTATCCGCCCTGCTGTCAGCTTCATTAATACTTATATGCCTATTTTATCTATCTCTTTTCTAATTCCAAGCCATTCACAAAATTTAATTAATTTACTCCACAATTCTCGGTTTCAAACTGTTACCAATTGGTTGATAAACTTCCAACTCGTTAATCTAAATCCTGATATCACTATGCTTTCTTTTGATGTGAGCAACCTATTTACTTCAGTACTCAAACATGAAACAACAGATCTGATAAAAATACTTAGTAAGTCCATTTAGTACCACATCATTTCACCGATACTAGATATTTTCGAATTATGTCTATGTCAAGATTTATTCTTATTTAATAATAAATTTTACAAACAACTTGATGGTGTAGCAATGGGCAGTTGCTTATCCCTCCTCCTAGCTGATATCTTCATGGATCACTTTGAATAAAATCACATCATGAAAAACCCTGAAATTTCACATTGTTTTCGTTATGTAGAAGACTGCTTAGTCTTCCTTTCAGGTAATTGTGACTCAGCTCATCACCTACTTCTTAAAATTAATCAAATTCATCCCAAGATTAAATTCATAATGGAAATTGAATCTTCAAATGTCATAAATTTTCTAGATCTATCTATTACCAGACTTGACCACTTTATCTTTGGTATCTATCGCAAATCCACCCAAACTAACCATGTCATACACTCTTCTTCTAATCACCCTCTTATAAACTATCATCTTTTAGAAGTTTAATTCATAGATTACATAAAATTCAATTATCCTCTGATGAATACAAGAAAGAATTAAACATCATTAAACAAATATCAATTAACAATGGGTATGATCACCATATCATCGACAAATTTATTAGGAAAAGCGAATTTAAATTACTTCAGCAATCAGAATTTATTATCAACCAACCAATTTCTCTTACTTACAGGTCTTTACCTTTTCATAGTTTAATTATTTCAGAAAAAAATAAACACATCTCACTAATGTTCTGACAATACTCACATTTCTTTCAAAGTTAGTATCACTCCCAACAATATATTAACTAATACTAAAGATTCCACCCACTATATGAACCGCAGTGGAGTTAACAGATTGTCTTGCTATGATTGTGATGCTTCCTATATTGGCAGAACATATAGATAATTATCAACTAGATCTTCTTAACTCCAAACGGAAAACACTTCAACATTTTCCCATCACTTGAAAGTTAACAAACACAATCTCAACATTCCTGATGATGTCATATTAATTCACAACATACAAGACAAAAATCTTTTGCGTCTGGACCTGTGTGAAGATTGTTAAAGACATGAAGACTAGCACAAATTGCGTCAATCGCCACTCTTCTTTTAATCGTGATTTCATTCTTAGTTTAACTTTTCTTCTAATTTTTCAGTTAGTCCCATTCATTTGTTTTCAGTAATTGCAATTATAAATCCCTCTACTTGATTACTGTGGCCCTTTCTCCTTCTTTTCTTAACTAGCATTTAACTTTAGACTTCCTTACTAAATCGCCCACTAACATTTTCCAGAAACTTGTTTCATTGTATCGTCTTCTTCCTTTCAACTCCCAACCTAATTCCAGATACAGTGTTTAATTTAATACAACACATTTTTCTTATACAATCGCCACTTCTCATTCATATGATCACTTCAAATTCCATCTTGTTCTATTGCTTGATATTCCATTCTATCCTCCATTTTTTACATATTTACTAATACAACATATAACCCTTTGTTTTCTTTTATCTGTTTTCTATAAATTAATATATTTTTTCACCAATTCTCAATTTACTCTTTAGGATATCTCAGTCTTTGACATCGTCCACTTCATATTTTTAATGTCCTGCTCCCATATCAATTTCTTTCTCTACTTCAATTTAATCTTCAGTTAACATTCTGTATCAATAGATCATCTAACAAGAATTCTACTTTTCTCAATGTCAAATAAATTTACTTTAACTTTCATCAACTATACTCCTACATTTTGCCCCAAGTTTATTTTATTTTATTTTCTTACCATTGTGAATACTTCGCGCACTTTAATCAACATTACTCACATAGGCAACCAACTTAACAATAAATAAAACATCATTTAGTGGTGTTCTTTTTTTTGGTGGTTGTACATTTTTCTACCACCTTATTCATTTTCCTACCTCCATTAGTGTCACGTAAATATAATTAATTTTAACTTTTAATAAATTTCCTCACTAACTTGTGCAAATGCGTAAAATGTCAAGTGTCACTTGGGCGAGATTTACATAACAATATCAAATGAAATATTTACACGGCGAAGCCTAACTGTTCAAATTGCGTCATCTATTGATGTACAGAGAAAGGTTAGTTGAGTCACTTTGAAATGATTAAATGTGGCTTTTGAATCCGAAATTTCTCCGGAAAGTATTTGTATATAACGTTTAGAAATAGTGTTGATTGAAAACTTGTATAGTTCAGTCATTTAGCTAGGTTCAGAAAAATATTTTTGCCTTAAAATATCTGTATAATTAGTGTAGAGTTATTGTTATATTCATCGTGGAATTAATGAATTATTTGGTGAAATCCAGTTTTACTAAAATCATAATAATCTTAGATATTTTATTTTCAAAATATTACTTCTTTGGCTAAAGATTATAATAATATACAAGTGTTGTTAGATATCAATAACTTATAATATGTATGATAATTGTTAACTTGTTCAAACATGTTTTAAGGGAATATTAATAGCCATAGACAAGACTCCAAAGAAGGTTGCTCAACTTCAAAAACGCTGTGAGGATTTCGGCGCTAAAGTGTATAGTTTTCAAGCTGATTCTACTGCAATACTTTCAGATACTTTAAGTTGTTCAAATATAATAGACGGTCCACCATTTTCACCTCAATCGTTCGACAAAATACTTTTAGATGCACCTTGTAGTGTTCTTGGGAAAAGACCACAACTGGCCAATAGGTTGTCAGAGAACGAGATCAAATCATTCGTTCCATTACAAAGAAAACTGTTTGAAAGTGTAAGTTATTCAGAATTTGCTTCTTAGTACTTATGGTTGTTAATTTTGCTAAAGATATTACACTGGCGGACAAAAACTCGGCTGCCTTTTTATTTGTAACTTTAGTCTAATACATGGTAAAATTTGACATTAACATTAAGTGCAAACATTTTTGACATCATCAACATTTCTTTTATATTTTTTTCTATTGCCTTTGTCTTTGTGTTGGAAACCCAGAATTACAATAGTAAACTTTGTTGCATGCCTGAAGGTTACGGGATACAATCACCTGTTTACTAACGTTAGTTACTAGCAATACTAGTCATATTCTCTTTCTGCTATATCTGGGATAGCTTCTGGGTTGAACGGATAAATTCATGTTGACGAGAAACCCGATTTTATATTAAATGGTGTCATTGCTTTATCCCAAAAATTAACCAAAATCTCTGTTTGGAAATAACACGTAACCCCATTGGCTGAAACTCGTTAGTAGTTTACTGGAAAGACAATGCAGAGTGATTTAGTATCTTTTAATACGTTCAAACGTTTTAATATTCATGCTGCCTTTTGTAGACATTTAAGCAACAGCACCTTAAGGTAGAGTCAACCCATTCTGGTTCATACGTTTAGCCCTTAAAAAGCACCATTGGAGGGATTGCTGCCACCAAGAGCATTACCACAAAAACCCTTTCTGGTGACACTTTCTTCATGTTCGTTTGCAACAAAATGTACTCTTCTTTTTTCTATTTCTGCGTAAAAACTTTCTGCTGATGGTGCAGTGTTAGTCTGTAACCTTTCTCGTCTACGTGATGTATCTGTTCTGGTTTGTTCACTTTTCAGTTCACTTTTTAAAGCTACGTAGCCAATAAGGGACCAGCCGATCACTCCTTTTCTTTGCTGAAAAAGATTTGAGATTTAATTGAGTTCTGTAAACCGGTATACATACTTACGAAGTACGCTTGCAGTAAGTGGATAACTAATTTGTGAAAATCGGATATTACGTTGAACTAATTCTGATTCTTGGGAATTTGTAAGTATAACTTTTTGCTCTAGAACAGACTTTACTTGCTTTCTTTCTCCTAAATATCATCGAAGTGTCCGCCTTGGGATGTGATATGTAAGGCTAGCTGAGTTAACTGCGGCCCCATTTTCCACCGCTGTTAAAGCTGTTGACACATTTTCTGTGGCCCCGTTGCCTCGTATTCTCTGCAGTGATACTGGGGCGGTTTTGATTGCTGTAACAAAAGAAATCACGTCAATACAGCGGGCAAAATTGTAGATTAATGTGGCCACAGGAGGAGAAATATAAAGAACATGTATATGATTTTCAAAGCTACGAATGTAATACAATTAAAGTAATAAAAAATTACCTATTAGAACCAGATATATATTTTTTTAAATTATAGAATTATTAAACAGCTTCTAAAATGTTGAGTTGGCACAACAATGAAGTACTCGTAGTCATATAGGGAAAGCAGCGCGATCTGTTTGACAATTTTGGCACTAAATGCATATTACTATGTACTTGTAAGATATCTATCGTTTAAATATAACAATACTAACAAATTTGCCAGATTTATTCCAGATTTAGCCATACTGCTCACATTTCCTCTAAGGGGAAATTTCACTCATTCCAGATACCTATTGTATCAAAAGACCCAGCATTTTTATGTTTTCTAGGAGATTCTTCTGAATAGTGCTGAGATGGGAATTACTATGAATGCTGAGAAACGAAGTACATGCTAATTACAAAAAGACCACAAAATATACATTACCTATTGACAATCAATGGTAACGTGATAAAAACAAGTAGAAAAATATCAGTACTTGCGAACTTTGATCAATGAAAACAATGATCATACTGCAGAAATAAACAGGCGATTAGAGATTGCTAGATCAGCATTTATACGAATGAAGCCACTCCTAACGTGCAAAAATCTAAATTTGGAGATCAGACTACGTACCATTCGCTGTTATATATTTTCAATATTATTATATGGAACTGAGACTCGGGCATTAAAAAAATGCAATTTAAAAAGAATCGAGGCTTTCGAACTCTGGTTTTACCGCCCAGTATTAAAAATATTATGGACTGATAGAATTACAAAAAAAGAAGTACTGGAGAGGGTTGGTAAAGAAACAGAACTAATCACTACTGTTGTAAAAACAACATTTTATATTAATTTTAGTGTAATTTTTAGTTCTCACAAATATTGGTTTGGATTTTATGCTACAGACTGTACTTTTTGCCTGCAAAATATTTGTGCCATAAATAGATTATAAGGGTTGTTGGGTGGTAAAACCGACGCCGCCTTGTCGGTACTTTTAGGTAAAGATTCAAGCAAAAATCCCTCGCAAATGTGACTAGTGTCTCAAACTGTGCGGTACCAGCCGGTACCTAGCGACTAAGCCCTCTCTTCGCCGCCAAAAATGCAGTGAAATGTGTATTTGTTTTCGCGATAGCTCGCGCGCCCCTAAACGCCGATAGAATAATGGACAATGTTTTAAAGCGAACTCTTTCGTTAGTATTAGTGCTTGTGTAAATATTCTCTCGTTATTAAATGTGTAGATTGGAATAATTACGCTTTATTTTTTTTCTAAGTACAACCACTATTAAACCAAACACATAAAGAACCAGCGCCGTGAAGTCTGCTTGTATATATCGAAATAAACTCTTGTACAGTCCATGGTCCTAAAATATTTGGAACTGTACACGCACGGGAAAAGGAATTTAATAAATTTACCCCCCAACAATTGGCGGAAATCAGAGAAAACTCCATCAACCACTATACAAACCAGAATCCTGGAATACCTAGGACACGAGATGAGGGGACCAAAATATGAAATTTTGAGACTTCTAGTATAGGGAAAGATTCAAGGAAGAAGGTCTGTTTTCCGAAGGCAGAACTCATGGTTGAAGTATCTACGTGATTGGTATCAGTGCAGATCGATTAATTTGTTTACAGCAGCAAGTTCAAAAATAAAAATAGCCATTATGATTGCCAACCTCCGTAGGGAGATGGCACTCTAAGAAGGAGATTCTTCGGAATAACTCAAATAGTAGAAAGAATATTAGGTATCGTTAGGATACTTTTCATTGTCCATTGTCTCCTTATCTGTATTTCCATATCTCTGTACTTTAGATATTTTCGTTGTATCTAGCACGCAGATTATTGTTGTGCAGGTATCGCCACATTGATTAGTGCTGTTTGCCTCGTTAGTTTATTAACTAGTACGAGATCTGGTCTATAACGTGCTACTGTTTGGTCTGTGAGCACAGTGCAATCCCAGTTTAGCTTGTAGTTGTCATTCTCAAGCATACTCTCAATAACGTATTGATAATATGGGTGATGGTTTGTTTGGAGAAGTTCCAGTTTAAAAGCTATCTCTTAAACAAGGGTCTTCCCTACTAAGTCATGCCTTATATTCAGTTGCAGCAAATGCCTGGCAGCTCCCGGTAAGATGTTGGATGGTTTCTTGTACTTGACATCCATATCGGCAGTTGTCGTTTTCGACCTGAGGGTATTTGACGATATATTTCAGGTAATTTTTGGTTGGTATAACCTGATCCTGGATGACAAGTAATCAACCTCTTATTTCAGGAAACATCTTGCCTTATGTCAACAAACAGTTGAACGCTATATTGCCGATATAGTCTTGACTGACCTCATTGGGATGTCCCCATGCATAGGTTTACCCATCCAGGTGTACATGTTTTCGTTCTTAGTAAGATGGTTTATGTGCATTTCTTTTTTCTTCCTAGTAGATGTCTTCGTCTGCACCTGAAAATAAGTTCTTAAATTAGTAATCTGTTTTTTTTCATTGCTCACATAAGTCCTCGATCTCCCAAATACCGCATTAATATCGTTCTTTCTACTGCACTTCGAGAATGGTGTTTTTGTGCCTTTAGTGTTTGTTCGTACTTTCCGCTGAAGAGTTTTTATATCTGTTTTGGCCCACTTAATAATGCCAAACGAGTAGCTAAGTGCGGAAAATTCGTAGGTGTTTAGTGCCTTAAACGAATTTTTACTATTAAGAATATTAAATATTATTTATTATTATTAATTATTATTTTAATCTCGGATAAGACTAATCTAATTAAAATCTTTTCTGTTTGCTCTTTATATACGTTCCTTTCACTCTATTTCTTCATGTATTTATCTTATAATGTTCGTCGTTTTGATTTCTGCTTTAGCGTTTGCTAGAGCTATTTTAGCTCTAGCTTTATAGCGCAAACTTTATAGAGTAAAAATGCTTTTTGTTTGTTTTTATTTACTGTTCTATATGTTATTTTGTAATTTATTCAATGCTTATTGAACTTTTAGGCAGCAAAATTATTGAAGCCAGGCGGAATTATGGTCTACAGCACATGTACTATAACGCTGTCTGAGAACGAAGGCATTGTAGCGTGGGCCTTAAAAAATTTTAATTTCTTAGAATTAGTTCAACCAGATTTGAGTTTAGGAGAACCTGGATGGCCTGGAACTTCTCTTTCAGATGAAACAAGGAGTTTGGTTCAGAGATTTGGACCTAATTCAGAGGTGGATTCGGTGGGATTCTTCTTTGCCGTTTTTAAAAAGAAAACTTGAGTTATTTTCAGTATTAAGGTCATGTTGTATATATTGTTATTATTACTATAATATATTTAATAATTAAATTACAGTATTATAATTTATTTTTACAGTACCATAATCACTTTGTATAACATCGTAATATACTTTTTAACCTTAAGTTGCAGCCTGTCTTAGCATGCGCTTGACGCAAGCAGCAGTCACAAGCGACTAACGCATTGGTTGGGATAGTCTCTCTTAGACGCATGCGATAGAATATGGGAATGGGAATTTGTGTATTAATGGAGCCATGTTTATCTTCATATATTAAAAGAGCAAACATTGGAAGAGAGCATTTTGAAAATAATGCTAAGTGACTGCAAAAAGAATAAAACTCATGAAATTTATGTCTTCTTCTACTTCCTCTTTATAAGCAATACTGCTTATTCATTGGCGGAATTAATGCCTCTATGGAAGGTTGTCACTCCAATCTTTTGCGCGGTAGTCCGATACTTCTTCTGCCGATTGTTGACTTACCTCTTGCTATTTTGACGAACGGGACTCCTCCATTCTGCTTATGTGGTCATTCAATTCTTTTTTTCTATTTTGTGTCCATTCATTTATACACTGTACCTTGCATTTTCTTCAAATGTCTTCACTTCTCTTTCAATCTCTCAGTATATTTCCCGTAATTCTTCTCAGTGCTCTCATCTGTGCCGTTTCCAGTAGCCTTTGCGTTGTGGCTGTGTCGGGTCTTGTTTCTGAGGCGTATGTCATTATTGGTCTTACACTGGCTTTATAAATTCTTGATTTCATCTCAGTGTCAATGTGTCTGTTTCGCCATATAGTGTTATTAAGGCATCCTGCCAGTCTATTTGCTTTTTGTACTTGATCTCTCACCGCTTTGTCCAAGTCTTCATAGCTAGACAGTGTAATTCCCAGGTATTTTATTTCCATTACTTGTTCAATACTGATGTCATCAAATTCTATTTTACATCTAGTTGGTTCTTTGTTGACTCCTATTGTTTTAGTTTTCTGAGATACGATTGTCATTAAATTCTTTAGCTCTTATGTTAAATCTATGGACCCGTCTTTGCAAACTATCTTCATCTTGGGCTATCAACATTGCGTCGTGTGCGTAACGGAGTATTTTGATTTCTTTATTTCCCATTCTGTATTCTCTTCCTTTGTTAACGGTTTTGATGATTTCATCCATGATCAAGTTGAAGAGCATGGGTCTTTATGACATTTATGTGAGAAGAGAACAGGATACAATAGCATTTAATAAGTAGCCCCTAATACATCCCCATTATTTACTTTTATGTTTAAACATATTTTACTTATGTTAACCTACCTTACAAACGTCGTCATCAGACTTAAATATTTTCCAGCCCAATGCCAGGTAGTGCAAACAATCCTAATCCCAAAACCTGGTAAATCTCAACATGAGACAACTTCTTACCGACCAATAAGTCTAGTGCTGTGTCAAAAATTATGAAAAAATTACTAGCTAAAAGAATAATAAAAATTATTGCTTAAAAAGAACTTCTACCGACACACCGATTTGGATTTAGAGCCAAACATTCAACAATTGAACTAATCCATTGACTGGCAGAATTAATCCAAAACACTTGAAAATAACCAATATTGCTCAACTGCAATCATCGATGTAAGTCAAGCTTTTTGACAAGGTGTGGCATCAGGGACTACTGTATAAACTAAAAAAGGACCTACACAGAACCTGTATGACATACTATACTCGTATCTAAACGAAAGATATTTCCAGGTAAAATATGAAGACGAAATAACCGGTCTACATCTCAAAAAGGCAGGCGTTCCTCAAGGTAGCATTCTTGGGCCGATGCTTTACCTAATATTCACCTCCGATTTGTCTACTTACAATAAAGTATGTACAGCCACATTCATTTGCGGACGATACCGCAATAATGGCGGTACATTCAGATCCCGTTGTTGCAGAACAGCTCCAAGAAAACTTAAGTCCAGAAATGGACTAAGAAGTGGAAGATCAAACTCTCTTCTTCTTACGGTTGTCTATCAGTTCCGGATGTTGGCGATCAGCATAACTATCCTAACTTTACTTACTAAACCATATCTGTGATAAGTTCTCATACTATTCTATTCCCCCATATACGCCCATTCTACGTAGGACCTCAATATTAGTCACACGATCCTTTCATGAAATTCTTAAGATGCGCCTGTAACACTACATCTCGAAGGCCTCGAGCTTTCCTAAAGAAGCTTCCAAAAGCGTTCATGCCTCTACTCCGTATAATAATGCAGAAAATACATAGCATCTGATGATAGAAATTTTGGCACTAAGTGGTAAATCGTGGACGTCTGAAAAGAGGACTTATCTTTACGAACGCTGATCTTGCTTTCCCTATGCGTTGTTTTATTTCAGTGGAGTGGGTCCATTCACTGTTTATGTTAGTACCAAGATATTTGTAGCTGTTTACCCTGTCAATTGGCTGTTGGTTTACTAAAATATGTGTATTTAATATTTCGCGCTTACTAACTACCATGTACATTGCTTTCTTCGTATTGAAGATTCGAGCCCATATTCTCGACTTATATCTGATATGCGCGACAATATTGTTTGTAAACCATCTATCTCAGCATATCTTATGTTGTTTAGATGCACTCAGTTAAGTAAGACGCCTTTCTCTAGTTGTCTAAACTCAATAAATCTAAATCAAGCCACATAGTATCTACTAAATGCCATAGCAATTCACCTCAAATATGATTCAACAATGTCAAGTCACGCATTGATTTATATTCTCCCATCAATTTTTTTAAAATACCAAAAAATTGCTTATGATCCTACCAACATCAAAAACACTTTTCTTCACTAAAATAACTGCCTACTCACAAACTTAGAGCACAATGACTTTGCTCCTACCACATCATTCCTCTTGACATTGACGGGTACTAACTGATTTTTCATACCATCTTTCTATCAGTTAGCCCTAGACTCCAACACAGATCAGAGGTAATGTAAGTCAATAAAAACTTCACCAACTACAGGGGGTCATTTAAGATGCCCCAGTTTCATTTTTTATATTACACCAAGTCAAGAGGTCTATTGCATTTACCTGAATAAATAACACGAAGTAATATTATTTTTTAAATCAGATGTCCACCGAACGTTTTTTTATGTGGCCACACAATGTTTTTTATCAACCTTTTTTATGTAAGTAAGTAAAAAAAACCAACTTTCTCTTTTTGTATGTTCCAAATTTTAACTTTGTTGTTTTTATATTGGTATTTTTACTCTCTCTTTTAGTATAAACTGATGATGGAATGATACAATTCCGAAAAGATCTTCTTTATTATATAAAAAAATTTTAAGCTTTTAATAAGCGTTTTTATACCTTAATACACACGAACACCACGTGCTTTGGATTCTAACAATGCTTTCCTTCCAACAGTAGAAACTGTAAAGAATCTTAGTACTATGGACAAGAGACTAACCTGGAAAATTCATAGAGGTGTGGGGCACTGCTTTACCAACCCTGCTATCCAACCTAGTAATCATGGACCGATTTCAAAACAAGGTGTTACGAGCAATAACTGATGCGGCCATGTTTGTAAGCAATAAAGACATACTACAAGATCTACAAGTGCCAACTGTGAGTGAAGTGATAGTGTCACATAGTGATAAACATTTACAACGATTAGAGAACCACGCAATATATTTATCGGTGGACACACTAGTCGATAAAACCGACGATGCCTTGAAGCAAAAATTACCATTTGATTTACCATTCTTGAGTTAAGAATCGATAGTTGTAATATTCATGTAGAGTTTAAAATATTTATTGTAATATGTCCAATGATGTAAAGTTAAAAAATGTGTTTATGTTTTCTTTTTTAGTGATTTAAACAGTAAATGAAGAAAAAAAATCCCCATTATTATTATGTGCTGGATTTTACAGTTCCGGTTTTTCAGAAATTGGCTCTATGAGCCTAGCATCGTCATTAGCCTACACGTTTAAAGTTTTAAGATAAAACAAAAATATGAAATCAAACTTATAAACTATGTATTTATGTTTTAAACTATGTATAGTATTGGTAGGTCATCAAAATAAACAGGCTGCGGTGGATAGGCCACTTAGAGAGAATGATTGAGATAAAGCCATTGAAACACATTTATAATCAGAGACCGGATAGAGTGAGAAGGGTCAGACCCAGAGCACGATTTAAGGACCAAGTGGAAGACGATTTACAACTATTAAGTTATGAATGTTAAGAGTACGAAACTGGAAAACCAAAGCGAAGGATAGGAAGAAATATAAGCTGATTCTAGAACAGGCAAAGACCCACACGAGTTGTAGTGCTAATGATGATAATGAAAATTTGACAGCGTAGTCTGAAGGAGTATTTTTCCTATAATGTTTATCTAGATTTTTTTTGTTTTCTTCACCGTTTTATTTCTTAAATAACAATATTTAATGATAGATTGAAAGCATCGAGTTAGAATCTATGGAGAAGCTATGAGAATATTAACATGTGTATTAAAAACGGCGTAGGTAGGTGTGGCTAACGATAATACCAATATGGCGGTGGGACCATGGCCGGACTCAATAATATTAAAACAATAATAATATAAAAATGTGGCTAGTTATTTAGAAGATTTAATCATAATCTAAAAAGTGCAATACATTTTTAATAAACTGTGATTTATTTATCCCGCGGCAAACACTAAAAACACGATATATTATACATAACGATAAATTAATACAGTCAATACTATTAATTTATTCTCTGAAGTACGGGCCATTACTTTGTTTACATATTTGTATACTAACTGTACATACGTTATTTTTCTAGATTTTTTATTAGCATTGCTTCTGCTACTGCAACTACGTTGAGAACAAGAAACTATTATTATGCACTATCACAATATATTATTTACAGTTTATATAAAAGTATTATAAAACTTAAAATATTCGAAAAACAACAAACGTAACTAAACTTATACGATCTGTCAAAAGTGTCAAAACAATATTAACAATAGTATTAACAATATGGCCAAAGTGAGGTCGTTTTTAGTCACGTGATGCCCTCTCCATAGATTCTAACTCG